CTTGGTGGAACATTAGTGTCAGCCTTGGCAAGATAAATCTCCCCAGATCTATCCAACGGGTGTGAAGATTCTAAACTAACACGAGTCTCATATGTGTCCADTTWAHGGGTATTRCAYAKAWACACACCATAATAACATGAATCAAATATGTACTTTATTCATTTACAATAAATGCCATAATGTACATCATGTTGATTGGAGCTAAGGGTATACACTATCTAATAGTAACAAAGATAGATAGATAGAGAGAGAGAGAGAGGAAATTGGGACTTGAAATTTACTTGAATTTGGGCTTCGGCGGGCCCAAGCCAAGCCCAAATTAATCTACCTTGCCAATGGTATCTTTGTTATTCAAAAGAAAAAAAAAAGTGGTATGATAATTGGAAAGAAGATAGGTATTGGAAACTTTACATTTCAGAAATGTAGAACAAGTCCATGTTGTTTTGGTTAGTTTTCTTTTGAATAACATTAATAGCCATCATTCCCCTATAGGTAACAAAGATAGATAGATAGATAGAAAGAGATAGATAGATAGATAGAGAGAGAGAGAGAGAGAGGAAATTGGGACTTGAAATTTACTTGAATTTGGACTTGGAGGGCCCAAGCCAAGCCCAAATTGATTTACCTTGCCAATGGTATCTTTGTTATTCGAAAAAAAAAAGTGGTACAATAAAATGTTGGAAAGAAGATAGATATTAGCAACTTTACATTTCAGAAATGTAAAACAATTCCGTGTTGTTTTGCTCTGTTTTCTTTTGAATAACATTAATAGCCATCATTCCCTTATAGTATAACAAAGAGAGAGAGAGAGAGAGAGAGAGAGAGAGAGAATCAAAGTGAAAGTGTCATATATCCACCATTGGATGTGGATTATATCATATATAACCGTTGGATCTGAAAATCGGTCTTCAAATGGAAGCACATGTAATTTGGACCATTGGATTGACTAATGTATCCTATACACCGCACTGAAAGTGTCACACTGAAACATCCATATGGTTGTTTCTTGAAATGCCCCCACCAAACAGCATGAAATAGAAAAACATTTATTGTTGCTGAAGTGTAAAGGGGCATTTCATGAAACGTCCAGAATAAGCATAACCAAACAACAAAAAGAAACACGTTTAAAGTGGGCATTTATCAAATAAACATTTTTCTGATAAACGCCCACCCAATAAACATAAATGGAACCAAACACATACTAGGTCAGTGACAATTACCCTGAACTTTCACTTTGCCAATAAATACCCGTGAATGTCAAGTCAGATTAAGGATGTATTAAATTATCAAAATGTCCATCTATTTTTTTTTTCTTGTGTTTTATCTTACTTGTAATCGACCAATAATATAATAGCATAAAAAAGTTTGTTTTTTTAATTCTTGATTCATTCCACTCACATTATATTTCTCTTCATCTTAAAATATAAAATTTATCCACTCTCTTCTCCAATAAATCAAGAAAAACCAAATAAAACCATAAATTTATATCTATTAAAAAGAAACCTCTATCATTTCAATTTGAATATTAAATCCAACCAAACAAGGATATATTGGAGTAACCAAAAATGCTTCAATGTAATATTTGGAAAACTAATAGAATCATAAACCATTCAAATAAATAAGAAAAGGGTAGTTTGGGGATTTAAAAAAATAAACAATTAAATGAGAATTTCTTTTTGAAGTTATCTAACAGAACTCTAACGGAGGGGGTATTTTTTGCAAAGTGAAAGTTCATAGGGGTTTTTGTTATAAATGAAAGCTTAGGGAGTATTTGTCACTAACCCCATAGTATAGGTATTTGTACTTTACTCTCATAAATCCTAATGCATTGGTACAATTTGAGACAATGTAGTGGACAAAGATTCCAAATTCATGGGGGGGGGGGGGGGGGGGGGGGGGGATGGGGTGCATAGGGAGGTGTGAGTAAATACATTTAGGAAACCAATAAAAAAATTTGAGGGGGACTAAATAGGCCATATATTATAGTCCCAAGCAAATTACAAAGACCTTTGCTATAGGCCAGTAGGAGTGAGCATGGAGCAGTATGATTTGATTCCATGGAAGAACCTAGAACCTACTCATTAGAGGTCAATTCCAGGCTTTTGGAATTGGAACCTACCTTGTGAAGGTCAGTTCTAGGGTTGGTTCTGGTCGTGGCGGTTCCAAAATTGATTCCAAGATCTACCCATGGAACATATTATTTCTTTACTCTCCCCTTTAAAAAAAAATGAAACATGT